CAGTTGGTAGATTATGTGATTCTTGACTCATGAGTTCCAGCCCCAAGTTGGGTGTAGAGCTCCCTAAAAAACAATCAATCAATCAATCAATCAATCAATCAATAAAAATACACGTCTTCTTTAACATGATGGTACCTCCTCTCAGCATCCTCATTTCTATCATCTGTCAATGTACCATCTTCTGGCTCTCAGACTGATAATCTTGAAGTTGTCTAGTAAAGAAATATTATCAGATCTTCCTCCAGGATGTTGAACCTGCATATCCACAATCCTCATTCTCACCTCACTTCAGGATTAAACAGTCTCCTAATCTCTAACTCTTCCACTTTAGGTGTCTAAGACAGGGGTCAGCAAACTACAGCCCATACATAGGACATTTCTGGCCTACCATCTGTTTTTGTATGGCCCATGAGCTAAGAATGGCTTTTACATTTTTTAATTAAATATAATATTTTATGACATTTCTTTGTCCATAAATAAAGTTTTATTGGAACATAGTTGTGCTCATTGTTTATGTATTTCCTGTGGCTGCTTTGTGCTACAGTGGCAGAGTTGAGTAGTTGTGATAGCAACCACATGACTTGCAAAGCCAATATTACTTACTGTCTGGTCCTTTACAGAAAAAGTTTTGCCGACCCCTACTCTAAGAATTTCCTTAACTTGGTTTTCAAAATCCTGCATCAGTGTTCCGTACCTTTCTATATAAGCCCCTTTACTCTGACCTCACACATGTACCCTGTTAATTCCTGTAATGTTTGTTTTTTCTCTCATCTCTCATATCGTCTTACCACCCTCCCTGTTCATTCTATACATTGCTCTGTTGGAGGTTTTTCCTCTGTAAGACCCCTTCCTCATGATTTCATTCTGTTCATCTTTCCATTATTTTGAACTAACTAATTAAGAATTTTTGTCTGCACCATATTTTTAGGCACTTGTATGTATTTTGTTTTGTCCTTTGAACATTTCATTCTCACATATGCTGTAATCTCCTTGCATGTAAGGACTTTGTCTTCCCTTCATTTGAGTACTTAGAGGTGGCAATCCATTTTGGTGACTCATCCTTCAGCATGGCCTTGCATACTGAGAGTTTTTAGAAACAACTTTTTTTTTTTCTAACTGTTCTTTTTCTCTAATGGGGATATATGTAACTCACGATAAATAAGTGTTTGTTTTGCTTTTAATCCAACTTATCCAACATTTAAGTTGTTATCTGGTTAGTAAATATTATAATGTGAAAGATTCTTTTATTACCTGATGGCCCTTATTTCTTTCCTTGTCCTTTTTTTTTTTTTAAGTTTTATTTATTTATTTTGAGAGAGATAGAGAGAGAGCACAAGTAGGGGAGGGGCAGGGAGAGAAGGAGGCACCATCAGCACAGACCCCAACATGAGCTCGAACTCATGAACCATGAGATCATGACCTGAGCTGAAATCAAGATTTGGATGCTTAACTGACTGAGCCACCCAGATGCCCCTCTTTCCTTATCCTTTTCATTTCACTGTCTTTGAGCTTAAGTGGCTAGGGGAGCCACGGAAATGAAGTCAGCAGGAATGTCCATAGAAACTAAAAAAGAGGTAAAATAAAACCTTGGTTTGTGAGCATAATTCATTCTGGAAACATTCTTATAATCCAAAGCACTTCTATATTAAAGGGAATTTCAAGAACCACTGGCTCAGCTGTAATTATGTGACTTTTAGTGTCACATACTACTCGTATTGCAAGACATCACTCCTTTATCAAGTTAAAATTTATTAGAAATGTTTGCTCATCTTGAAGAACACTCGCAGAACAAGTTACTCACAATACAAGGTTTTACTGTATTTGAATACCCATTGTGCTGCACTGCACTGTACCAGGTTTATATAGACAGGTTAATTTAAAAAAATACCTATTTGTTGCTCTGAATGTGACATTCTAAAGCAGACATAGTTAGGTAATACACAAAGGAGAAAAGCAGAAATAAGTTGAGGAACAAAATTATAGAGAGGGTAGAATCATGATTTTTTTATGTCAACACAAATATGAAAATAATATTTATCATTAAAAGCTGGCAGAATTGAATATTACCCTTAGTCTAAAGCCAGCTCATGAGAGTAAGTAAATTGCAAATACTCTGTTTTCTTAATTACCTTTCTAATGTACATCATAGAAGGTTTAGTATGTTTACATGCATCTTTGTAGACTTGAATTTATTGTTTCTTAGAAATTTGTTATTAAATTTAGGGGGGGAAATGTAGGGGAAAAATCATCTAAGTTCCATTCCAAGCCACAGCATTTTTTTTTTTTTTTTTTTTTTTTTTTTTTTTTTTGAGATTGGAAAATCAGGATGGGGGTCCAGGATGGGAACACAAAATATTTCAGGAACAATCATAATATCATTCAGCTGCTATTTGTGGAGCACTGACCATATGCCAGCACTCTGTAGGTGCCTTACATACATTATGTATAGTCATCACAAAAACTCTCAAAGTAGGCAGAGATGAGAACACTGGGGCTCAAAAAAGGGAATAATTTGCCCAATTTCACACAGCTGCTAAGTAGTGCAGCAGGATGAGAACCCCAAATATATATATTTTTTACTTCCAGTTCTGTGCTGTTTGGGGAAGAAGACCAGTCGAGGTGGAGGGAAGGGCTCAAGGCAGGCACAACAGTGTCAGGGGTAAAGGCCTCTTGCAAGAAAGAGTAAGTGTTCTGGGTAAGAATGTGGTTGTTGTCAATTTGGTACCAGAAGGGGTACCTACCCAGTATCCCAACCTGATGCATCTTAGTTTCTGATTTCACAAATGCTGAACCCAACTGGCCACTATCTGTATGTTATCCTCTACATAACTGTCTTTTTCTCACAACAGCCACGTTTCACATTAAACTCCTTGCATAATGTTGGTTAAAGACCCTGCGAGAACAGTGAAGTCCCTTATTTAAGAAGAGAAAGGATACATAAATGACACATCCATAAGTTGACATAAGAATTGCTTAGTGCTTTCCTCTAACCTTTAGTTTTAGATTTAGCTGTGCCTTCCGGTGACTCTAATGACAGAGAAGCTGCAAATAGATTTGAGTTCAGTTCTTACAAAAAGCGAATACCTGGCACGGAAACCGTTTTTTCGATATATAAGGTGGAAAGAGCAAATTAAAGACTATTCTTTAATAACCAAATGTAATTAAAATGCATTGTGAGATTTACGTTTTAGTACCTCAGAGGCACTGATATTACCTGTTTCTGAAATGAGATTGCTGATGCAGAAAAAAGCCCCCAAATCTCAATATATAGAAAATTTTCTTAACCGCCTCTTTTTTTAATTGTGATGTTATGATATAATTTAAAGGGTAAGATGGAAATGTATCTCTTGTGCAAATTATAAACATACTCAAGACTTTGTCACTTAGGGAGCTTCAGGAAGAAGGATTCTTTTTTCTATAATCAAGTATTTAGAAAAGACAATTTGAAGTTCCTTGGAGTGTTCTCGGTGGTACAATCCAACCCTCCCACACCTTTTCTTCTTTTTCTTCTCGAATGGTTTAGTTGCTTAACTAGGGTGATTCAAAAGTAAGGCACTTTGGCTTATCATTGGTTTTCTGGTTTCTTCTTTTTTTTTTTTTTATTTTTAACGTTTTATTTATTTTTGAGACAGAGACAGAGCATGAACAGGGGAGGGGCAGAGAGAGAGGGAGACACAGAATCGGAAGCAGGCTCCAGGCTCTGAGCCATCAGCCCAGAGCCTGACACGGGGCTTGAACTCACGGACCGCGAGATCATGACCTGAGGTGAAGTCGGACGCCTAACTGACTGAGCCACCCAGGTGCCCCTCTGGTTTCTTCTTTAATGGGGCTGGTCATGTGGGCAAAGTGGCTTAGCTATGTAAACGTGCCTGTTGAGCTTTGTGCCTGTTGAGCTTTGCCGCTCCCTCAAGGAGCTTGAGAAGTGGAGGTGAGGGGCCCAGGAGGTGATTTCTCTGGGCTACCAGCTGTAGGATTCAGAACAGCTGGACTTCTTTTCAGGGGCTGGAGACCCAGATGCACAAGCGTGAGAGCAAGGGGGCTGTGCAGCCCCAGGTCACCACAGCTTGATTCTCTGATCCAGCTTTTCCCTTCCTTTCCCTGCCCCATCCCCAAAGCATCAGGGATATAATAGTGTGGGGTTGGTGACGTGTTGAGGGCTGCAGTGATCGGCATATTCCTTATTTAGGAGTCTTACTCTGAATGCATCTGTAAGAAAATTATAGAGAGGGTAGAATCATGATTCTTTATGTCAACAAAAAGTGGTCTCAGTTAAAAAAAAAAATAAATGCTAGATTGAAAGTAGCAATAACTGGATTCTGCTGTCTCCCTATGACCTTGAAAAGATATATCACTTCTCTACATGTCTCTTCTGTGGACCTGGGGTAATATGTGTTTCCTAGAGCTGCTGTGTGAATGAGATAACCTGCAAGGAGTGTTCTGAACTCCTTCAGGAATAATGTCAAGGAGACAAAATGCAATGACTGTTATTAGGGCAAAGATAGTGAGGAGAAGACAGATCTGCATTTTCTTCCTTAATCTTCTAATCTTTCCAGAATCTTGTGGGTCCTTTTGAGTCCCTGCTCTGTTCCTTAGGTCGGAGTGGTGGCGGGTTCCATGCTTGGGTGCAGGAAGAATGCCTTCTACTCCATGAAACTCTGTTCATCAGGAAGGCCTGTGTAGGCACCACGCTTTTGGCCACGGGTGAGTGGGACACCCAGCGAGTTGTGCTAGGAGAGCACAGGATCTGCAGGTAGAAGAAGGCATCTCTCCTCCCCAGGCCGAGGACAGGTAGCCATGGACTGTGTGCTCCCTCACGGCTTGCCTGCTCCTCCTTCACAGAATCCACCGCCTGGTGCCCAGGCTCCTCTGGTCACCCTCCATGACAAAGGAAAGTGAATGCAAAGAGGCCAGAGCTTCCTACCGACTGGAGTCCAGTGACTGGGGACGCCTTTTGGAGCAGTCCGGCAGTGTGACCGAAGTTGTTCCTGCTGCGGTCAACCATGTCCTTCAGTGCCACCATTCTCTTCTCCCCTCCTGGTGGCAGTGAGGCCAGATGTTGCTGCTGCGCCTGTAAGAGCGAGACTAGTGGGGGCAGCACAAGCTCTCAGGGCGGGAACCCTCCTCCCAGCACCCCTATCACAGTGACCGGACATGGCCTGGCGGTTCAGAGTTCAGAGCAGCTCCTTCATATTATCTACCAGCGCGTGGAGAAGGCAGTGGGCCTGGCTGAGGCTGCTCTGGGGCTCGCCAGGGCCAACAACGAATTACTAAAATGTCTCCAGGAGGAGGTGGGTGAGCTGAGGCAGGGGAAAGCCTCCGCCCCTGAGGAAGATGGGGACGGCAGGGCCCAGGGCTCCCCACCCGAGGAGGCTGGGCCTCTCAAAGAGAGCCCCGGGGAAGCCTGCAAGTCCGCATCTGCCGCAGAGGAGGAGTGTGACAGCGTGGGCAGCGGCATGCAGGTGGTGATTGAGGAGCTGTGGCAGGTGGGAGCCGCGTCGGCTGTGGGTCCCGGGCCTTTGGGCTTCCCGGCCGGCCAGAGAGACACGCGGCTCCCCGGATGCACCCTGGCTGCCAGCGAGGCGGCCCCGATGCTCAATCCCGTGAGTATGGCCTCAGAGCAGGACGCCAGTGTCGTGTGGTAGCTCCTGACTGCTTCTCCTGGCCTTTCTCTCCTCCTTCCCCCTCCCTCTAGTTTCTTTCCAGCCGTAAGCCTTTCTTTTGGTTTTACTTGTGCTAAAACAGGACAGCACCAAGTCTCCTTAGCCAGCAGGGATAGTCGGCACTCATCTGTTTTCTTCTGAACCTCAACCTCTTCGGCAGGTCATTGCTGGTGTGCGTGGTGATGGTCGTGCCCTTCCCTCCTTCTCAGGAGCTCTGTGTGCCACCTTCTCCTCCACAGCTGGCTCAGCTGCTCCAGGGGCTCTGCCTCTCCTGGCGAGAAGGCCTGCCGTGCACAGACGGCTCATTCATATTTTATCATGGGCCCTCTGCTTGCCAAGAGGAATTCAGTACAGAGAGAGATGGGAATGTGGAGGGGGGAGATGCAGAGGTGGAGAGGAAGGGAGAGCTGGAGAGGAGAGGGACAGAGGGGGACAGAGAGGGAGGAGAGGGAAGGAAGGAGAGACGGAGAGGACAAAGGACACAAGACAGGTGTAGGGAGGGAAGGAGGCAGGTGGAAATGAAGGGTTGAGGAAGGAGAAAAAGTGAACCGAGCAGAGAGGAAAGGTGTATCTAAATGGAAAGAGAATATATGTGTGCCACAGAATGTGAGGGAAGGTGGGAGGGAGGCAGAGGGGAGGGAGTAACAGGAGGACAAGAAGCGGACAGACAGTCGTCGTCGAGAGCTCCTCGGAAGAGAATGGCATGTAGGGAGAACGAGGGGAGCAAGCGCACCTATTTCGTGTGCAGGAAAAGACACAGAAGCACCTTGTGCTATTTCAGTTTCTTTACTGCTCAGGGCCATCTGAGCAGGCAAACCCTGGCTGAGTAGAGTAAAAACTGCGGAGCGTGGCACACGGAAGTATGAAAAGGAGATGGAGCAACTACAGAGATCATAGAGATGGGAAAGTAACAGATGTGTCGCCACTTGAGAGACAGTGGGAGGTCTGGCAACCCTCCTCCCCCATGCTCCCGCCCTGCCCTCTCTTTCCTCCTCCAGCACGTGACAAGGCCCTGACACCCAGGAAAGAGAAAAGGATCAGAGCACACAGGGGAGATGGGAGGGAGGAAACTCCCAGCCCATCTGCTGGATCTGAGAAACGAATGTAGAAGCCCCATGTCCCCCTCCAGTGTCACGCTATAGCTGGTCACTGCTCCCTGAAGGCTTAGCCATGTGGGTGGGTGGTGGTCACTGCCTCATGCCTCCTTCTGCCCAGCCAGAACTCAAGGGGGGTTTGGGGCTGCAGGGAGGTGGGAGGAGGCAGGAGGCACCAGGTACCAGGCCAGGCGATGCCCTGAGCTGTGGTTCTGTCAGGCAGGGAAGGCTTCCAAGCCGACAGGACGGAATTAGATTTCACAGCGCAGAAAGCAGCTCACGGGTCTATAAATCTCAGCCTCCTCCCCCGCTTCTTTCTGTGTTTCCCACCCCCCCCTTCACTGTTTTGTTTTCTTGGCTGCAGAAATCCCCCCTCCTTTCTTCCCTCAGTCTCCTTCCTCCCTCCTTCCTTTCCCTGCCCTGTGTGTCCTTGAGTGAGGGCACAGGCAGCAAGTAGATGTCAGGGCAGCGACGGTTGGATGCAGCCAGGGCAGGATCAAGTGAGGGCACAGACAGGTGGTGCAAAGGGAATGGGGTGGGAGGTGGGGGACAGTTGGTGCCAGCCTCTCTAGAAATTTCTGACTTTATAGCTCCCGTCTTTGCTCCCATTTTCTCCTATTTCTCCCTTTTGTTGTTATCATTTTATTTTCTTGTTTCTTTTCTTGCTCGGTGTTCCTTTCTTGTCATCACTTCCTCCCCCAGTGCCTTTTAGACAAAATACTTGCCTGGCTACGGTTCTTATACCCAAGAGCAAATCATAGAGGATTCCTCACAAATAGAGTGTCAGAAACAAGCGTTGTCCTTGTAATCAGTCCTATGGTAACGATTCAACATGAGAGGCCCTGGGTACCCCAGAAATATTTGCCAACACCCCCATAGGAGTACCAGAGAAACAAGCTATTGGCCATTAAAGACTGTCCTGGATTCCCCCTGCTTTCCACTCTCTCATTATCCTTGACCAAAGAATGATGGGTGACCGGGTTCCCCTAAGCCTGGATGGCTAATAGGCTATTCTTTTTTATGTTCTTAGCTGGTGGATGATTATGTGGCCTCTGAGGGTGCAGTACAGCGGGTGCTGGTCCCTGCTTATGCCAAGCAACTCTCACCAGCCACACAACTGGCTATCCAGCGGGCAACCTCAGAGACAGGGCCAGAAAATGGAACCAAGCTGCCACCGCCCCGCCCTGAGGACATGCTCAGTGCTGCAGCTGCGCTGGACGGTGCCTTGGAAGAGTCAGGCCCTGGGGGAACAGGGGAGCTGAGACACTCTCTAGGGTTTACTGCTTCCCCATGCAGGACCAGAGGGAGTGGGCAGAAGAACTCCAGGCGCAAGCGGGATCTGGTACTCTCCGTGAGTGAGCTCAATTCTATAAATTTTTCTTCAGTCTGGAGAGATAAGAATGAAGTGTGGGTTGATTTTAAACTTCCCATATTGATTGAGTGGTGTCCTGTATCATACTGGAGAGGGAGGGGCAAGTAGCCCTAGGGACAGGCAGTCCCCCTGCTAATCATGGAATTTTTTTAAGGCTTTGCCAAATAGATTGAAATCTTCTGTTTAAAGAGAAGGGAATTATATCACACCTCCTCCCAATGATCTAATAATCCTGGTGGGAAGATCTTTAAGGGATTGAGCAGACCGACCGCTGAATGCTAGCACTGGAAACAGCCTGCCATTTATCAGTGTTCAGGGTAAGCAGCAAGGGACCCATTGGCAGAAAGGCCAAGGTATCCTGAGGTGGTCCCAAACCCCAAGGATGCAGAGGACCACTAGACACTCAGCTCAGTTATGAAGGTTTGGACAGTCTAGTGATCCAAAGGGATCTTGGCAGGGAAGGTACCAGGTTGAACCAGTTTTGCCTGAAACTTGGAGTGGCTTGGAGCCTTAGGAACATCACTAAGTATCCTGCAGTGCACAGGGCAGCCCCCAAAAATTATTCGACCTAAAATGTCCATAGTGCCAAGGTTGAGAAACCCTGTTCTAAGGTAACCATTGTCCTGTGGATCAACTCTGTGCCCCAGAACATCTTTCTGATAACCACGGGGGTGTTCCTTAGCTAGATCGTGTTCATATGGACTATAAGCCATTTCCTTTCTCTGGCTTATGGCTGATAGAGTAACTGGAGAGTTCTGATTAGGAGGGGAGCTCATCATTCACACCCATCCGAAGAAATCTCACAGCATAGCCCCTTTCCTCCTGTCACAGTCTTAGTAAAGGTTGAAGACAGCCGGTTACGCGCACACCTTCTTCATCTGCATTACTTCTTTCTTCTTTTTCCCTTTCCTAAGGGCTCCTGACTCTTACTCTCCCTTTCACTTGATTTGTTTTTACACCGAGGGATTCTTTTCATCCCTGGGAAGGAAGACACCGTTCATAATCCGAATCAACTGGTTTCTAACCTTCGTTTTATTTTATTTTATTATCTTTTTTTCCAGACTTCATTTAAAATTTTGGTTATGTTCAGGGATATCTCACTTATCACGAATAGGGTTTAGTTTTTCTGTCATGAATCTCTTGCTTCCAGTGATAGAAATGGAGGCATATATACCTAGAAATGCATTTCAAGCATAGTGTTTAAATCATGAATAAATGTATGATAATTACAATTTGCATAAAATTAGGGTTTCCGACCACTTCATTCCTCTCCAGCCTACTGCCTCCAGCGAGAGGCCGGTGTGGAGGGCTGGCTCCCACCTGCCCTTTGGAGAGCCTGGTGAAACTGAGGACCTTGGAGGAGAGTACGCTCACTCCCCATGCTCTCTGTTACATTACTTGAAAAGGCCCTGGAGGACCGGTCAGGGAATTTTGCTGCCCATCACAGAGGAAGGTTTAAAATGTGGTTTAGAGGGAGAGGGCTCGCCGCAGGCCTTCAGTCTTCCAGCCTTTAGCTCTGGGAAGGAATCAAGGAGGCATCTCTCCAATCCACTCAGGCTGCTGTGGGTCACTGCTAGGGATCCAAAAGGACCAAACCGGAACCACTGACTTCTTGGAATGCTGCAAATCCCAGCTACCCATTGGGAATATATTTATTTTTAGCTCACTCAGGAGGTAGGTGAGCCAGCTGCCTTTACAGTCTTAACACTTATTATTGTCTCGGAGTATTTTCCCTTTCCACTTCAAGCCTGGTTTGATTTTTATCAGCTGATCTCTTCCAAGCCACTTGAATTGGAAGCTGTGCAACTCCCCTTTCTTCCTTTTTTTGCAACACTTTCGAAATTTTTTGAAGCATTTGCCCACCTCTTGTGATTCCTTAAGTTGGGACTTCTAAGAGGTAAAATATATAAAATATGAGAAGCTAGTTTAATTACAGGCCTTTTTTATAGAGTAGAGACCCTAACCATAAAAATTTCCTAAATTGATATGGTTAGTCAGTCATAGAAGCAGAAGGGTAAATGGGGATTTCTTAATTGAAACTGAAGTCTTGAGATCAGTATATGGGTCCATCGGTTTGGGACTGGGAATTTCCACTGACTGAGGGAGCTTGAGATAAAAAATATAATCAGGAACAGCAAAACTAAATTTAATAGGAAGAAATGTAAAATTCTGCATCAAAGTTAAAAAAGCAAAGCAGTTGTAGAATGGCAGAGATAGGAATCCATGTGAAAAGTAGACTTGAGTTGACAGCTCACAGGGAATGAACCCTGTGACATTGGGAATAGGGGTGGCGTTGCTAAGAAAGGTAACACCATCTTGGGTTTCATTCCTAGAAATGTAGAGTTCCATTCAGGGAAGTAATTCTCCCTTTGGCCAGGTCCCAGCTGATGGATTAGATTCAGTTCCCAGTGCCATGTTGTCCAAGGGACACTGGCAAGCCAGAGAGCCTGACGGTTTCATGAAGAGTCTGTTTGGAAACTGTCATGAGGAATGGCTGAAGGACTTGGGGATATTTAGACTGAATAGGAGAAGATTTGGGGAGTACATGAGACCTGTCTTCAAAGATGTTAGGTGCCGTTATAGGCAAAACTGGTCAGATTTTGGAGTCTAAGGCAAAACTTTTTAACAATTAGAGATGTTCAGCAGTAAAATAAGCTGGCCCAAAAAACTAGTGAGAACCCATTATTAAAGGTGTGTAAGCAAAGCTGAAAGCCTGTTCGATGATGTGAAAGGGAGGTTGGGTGATAGAGTCTCCAAGGTCCTTTGCATTTCACATTTCTGTTATTTTAGGTTTGTGTTTTTCAGACCATGGTGTGTATACCCCTGGGACTTGTGGTAATGTGCAAAAGGATATATACACCTAGGGCATTTTCCTGGGTCATCAATTGTACTAAAAGATTGGAAGACATTTTTAGATTAAAAAAATATAGATATATTGTAAAGAAAACTTTAAAATTTGCAAGAATAGGGGGCCTCAAGAAATGTCCACTTGCAGTAGTCTTGGTGTATATTTGCTCTCTCCTGGCTATTTGTAAGGAGTATGTTTGTGAAAATGTCTGAGACCTTTTGCTCTACTGATCATATTCCCCAGGAACAGAAAAGTAAGACCAGGGATGATCCTAGAGCTTCCATACAAATTAAATGAAAAGGACCAAAAAAGGGGGGACATTAGAAGTACTGACTTGGATAGGCTCTCTGGCTAAGAAAGAGTATCATCAGAAATGGTGCCCAGACTATGGGAAGGATTCGGGCAGAGAACCCCATAGAGACAATGCCTAGGGAACAGAGGAGGGTTCCATCATATACACTCTCAGCTTGAATCTGTGTTTGTTTTTTCGCCTAGAAATTGGTCCACAATGTGCATAACCACATCACCAACGACAAGAGATTCAATGGGTCTGAAAGGTACGATCCCCTTGAGGGAAAACAATCATAACGTACTCTGCCAAGGAGAGGGAACTAGAGGGCTGTTCCAGTGTAACAATGAGGCTAAGGCTTTGCTCTCACCATTGCCCCTTGCATCCTGCCCTTGGCCGTGAGGGCATTTACCACACAGTTGATTCATGTCAGGAATCTCTGTTTTTCTGGCTTTCAAAATGCTGACTGCCTTGTTCATGATCTTTGTGGCAGCATCAAGTCCTCTTGGAATATTTCAGTAGTGAAGTTCCTTCTGGAAAAGCTCAAGCAGGAGCTGGTGACCAGTCCCCACAATTACACTGATAAGGAGCTGAAAGGTGAGAAAAAACTGAATTAACTCCCATCTCATCCTTTTTCCACTCACTGTTCTTGTTCAGAGTAGAGGCATAATGGAGATGATTTGGGTGGTTTTCAAAAGAGTGGACTTAAAATAAAATTTTGGGGCTATTCTCACATCTTCTTCACAGAATTGTTTCTAATTGCTTTTTTATTCCCCTGCCCCGCTTGAACTGAAAATGGGAAAAGGAAAGGGCTGAAACCAGCGTGCATGATGTTTCTGCAGGGCCTGAATCTAGGGTGTTATGAAAAGGAAGTCGGGGCGCCTGGGTGGCTCAGTCGGTTAGGCAGCCGACTTCGGCTCAGGTCATGATCTCGCGGTCCGTGAGTTCGAGCCCCGTGTCGGGCTCTGTGCTGACAGCTCAGAGCCTGGAGCCTGTTTCAGATTTTGTGTCTCCCTCTCTCTGACCCTCCCCCATTCATGCTCTGTCTCTCTCTGTCTCAAAAATAAATAAACGTTAAAAAAAAAAGTAAAAAAAAAAGAAAAGAAAAGGAAGTCAGAATCCAGGCCTGCCCTTTCTGGTTTTTTTAAGTTTATTTATTTAGTTTAAGATGTGCGCGCTCACTCAAGTGAGGGAGGGGCAGAGAGAGAGGGAGAGAGAGAATCCCAAGCAGGCTCCACGTGTCAGTGCAGAGCCCAACAAAGGGCTTGAACTCACCGACAGAACCTTGAGATCATGACCTGAGCTGAGATCAAGAGTCTGACGCTCAACCTACTAAGCCACCCAGGCGCCCCAGGCCTGCCCTTTTGTCCCTAAATATTATGTCCTGGGTTTTCTACTTTCCTTACTCTTCTGTTTTTTTGCTTGTAGCTAACCCTGAAGCATTTAGAAAGCTGCTGTTGAAAAAGCACTTGAATCTACTACCAGCAGAGTAGAATGGGAGTGGGTTTAATTGAGTCAAGGGCCAGGGAGGGAGTTACAGAAGCTTGGACTTGTGTTCCCAGGGGGAGATATGGGTGGAGTCAGTGCTGGACATGGAGGTGAGCAGAGAGAGCTAAACCAAAGAGGAGTAAATACCTGCTGATGGGTCTGTGAGAAAGCCCACCATCTAGAGGGACCCTCACCTTCCCAGCCAACAGTGTTAGGGCAGAAAAAAGGGCTGAGGACCTGGTTCAGAGGACCCTGCTCTCTGCCCCCTCCCTTCTCCCTCCTCCCAGGAGCCTGTGTAGCCTACTTCCTTACTAAGAGGCGTGAGTACCGCAATTCCCTGAACCCCTTTAAAGGCCTGAAGGAAAAAGAGGAGAAGAAGCTTCGAAGTCGCAGATACCGGGTAGGTTTCTAGGCCTTCCTTTCAAGATGCTAAATGCTAAACCCTACTGAGCTGCAGTGGGAAGGGCCAGAGGACCTGGCATCTGAGAATAGGGTTGAGAGCCAGGAATGTTAGCAGGTAGAGGAGGAGGGAGGGGGGCTAGGTTCTCTCAGGCACAGATTTTACACAGCTTTCCTACCCGAACCCCTCTCCCCAAATCTAATCCTTAGTCTGTCTCTCTTCCTAATCTCTATCCTGGGCTCCTACCTTAGCTTTTTGCCAACCGATCCAGCATCATGAGGCATTTTGGACCTGAGGACCAACGCCTATGGAAGGATGTGACGGAAGAGCTGATGTCAGATGAAGAGGACAGTCTTAATGAGCCAGGTGTCTGGGTGGCCCGGCCTCCCCGTTTCCGGGCCCAGCGCCTCACGGAACTCTGCTACCACCTGGATGCCAACTCTAAGCATGGCACAAAAGCCAACCGTGTGTATGGACCTCCCTCAGACCGATTACCTTCTGCTGAGGCCCAGCTCCTTCCACCAGAACTTTATAATCCTAATTTCCAAGAAGAGGAAGATGAGGGAGGTGATGAGAATGGACCTGTCTCCCCATCTTTTGACCAACCCCACAAAACCTGTTGTCCTGACTTGAACTCCTTCATTGAAATCAAAGTGGAAAAGGATGAATGAAATCTATAACCAAGAATAACTCTGGCTTCTGCCACTCCCCATGTCCCAGAAATGGATGGCCACGGGGCTTCCCAGAATAACAAGATGTCCTCTGCAGTCTGAGAAAGCAAATCTGTCTCTCTTCTTAACACAGTCCCCAATGGAAGTGGAAGCCAGCAGCTGTGCTGGGATAAAGACTTATCTAGAAGGGGGAAAACCGCCCCCCACTGTGAATGGCAAGCCAGAAAATGCTTATTTCTAAGCATAAATAGTGCCTCGGGGAGCCTGAGCTGAAAAAAAGGAGAAGGATGGGTCTAAGAAACATGAGGCCTTCTTGACATCTGCCCCAGTCTCTGAGTTGGTTTTTTTTCTGGTTTCACTCAAAGCTCTGGGGAAGCAGCCCTGGTTGTACCTTCTGCTTCCCCATGACTGCTGGTCTGGCTCTGCAGTGGAAGCCGCACAGAACCAGTCCAGGATAATACTGCCACCTGGTGGGCAGTCTCAGCCATGGGCTTGATGCTTCTGAGCAGAACACGGCTGTGTCTCTATTTGGGAATTGGGATACAGATATAATAGCTATTGTTTATTGAATTATGTAAGGCAGATTTTATTATTCCCATCTTACACATGAAGAAATTAAAGCTTAAAGAGTTCCCATGTGTCACTAGCAGCTGCTCTCCCACTGTGCGACCAAGCAGTATATGAGGCTTTGTAGCTATTAGTCCTGTCAACCAAACTGTATTTTGAGGAAGGGGTGTGTGTGTGTGTGTGTGTGTGTGTGTGCGTGTGTGCGTGTGTGCGTGCGCACACCCACACGTGCACCCCCACACACCCACACCCAAACTTTGTGCATTACGAATGGATTGTGAAGTAAAAATGGCTTTCTGTTCAGTCAGTATGTAACAAATACTGATTGCTTACTAGGTGTCAGGTACTGTGTTGGGTGCTGTGGTTACACTGTGGATCAGGTTAGATGCCGATTAGGTTTTATTATCTAATCAGGAAGCCAGGTAGTTAAGTAGACAGTGAAATGAACTGTGATAAGGGTGGTGATGGGGGAGCAGAAGGCATAGCGGCAGCAGACAGCAGGGTTGGCTCACCTACTCTGGTGGTGGGGAAACGCTTCTCAGAGAGTGGTGTTTAAAGTAATACCTGAAAGATGGGGAGGAGTTGGTGCAGAGGAAAGCTGGAGAGACCCAGAGACCTTGTCAAGTATCTTGAAGAGTACAGACTTTAGTTCAAAGGCCATGAGAAATCCTTCAAAGGTGGTAAGCAGGGAAATGAGATGGTCAGTTCTGTGTTTGATAAGAATCACTTGCCCTGGGGATAAGATGGATTGCTGGGAGAAAGCCTTGCGGGGCGGGGGCAGGGGGGGATGTCCCACAGTGGTTCAGGAGAGAAGAGATGGTGGCTAGACAGAAAGTGATGGTGAGGGGATTTGAAAGAGATTTAGGAAGCCGAACTGAAAGGACTTGGTGATTGACAGGGCTTGGACTTAAGGCTGAGGGAGGAAGACATAAGGTTGACGTTCAGGTTTCTGGCATAAGCATCTAAGTGGTTAATGGCGCCGTTTACTTGGGATGCTGGAGGGGCCAATTTCAGGAGGCAGAGAAGGTGAAGTCAGTTGAGGGGGTTGTATGCCTTTGAGACAACCACGTGGAGATGATAGTAGTCAGCTGAGTTTTTAAGTCTAAGATAGTCTGGGCTAAGGGGCACCTGGCTGACTTAATCAGTGGAGCATGGGATTCTTGATCTCAGAGTCATGAGTTCAAGCACCATGTTGGGCGTAGAGCTTACCTTAAAAAAAAAAAATGTCTGGGCTACAGATAGGGATTTGGGAGCCATCTGTGTACATAGTTCATAATTAAAGTCTTGAGAAGGGAGAACAGGGCTGGTGGAGCTCCTGGCTCCAAAAGAGTGATTACCCTGAGGTCATGAGCACTACCAGAGTATGCCCTCAGTGCATCCCTCTCCCCCTTCACTTGTCTCTGTTTCCTGTTATCCCCTGAAAATACAGGTGCTTGATCCCAACTGTGCCCACTGCTGCCACCACCAAAGGCTCCTCAACTTTTCATAAGAGATTCAGTCTCCCATCCTCACTATAAATGGGGAAAGCTTCCAAATATGAGAGGCTCTGTGGATATTCTGGTTGTAAGTAATAGGAAGGAAGAATCCAGGTTTTCCTTCTCCATATGGAGACAGGAAAGGAGGGAGAGCCTTATGGTTAATTCTGAAGATGTTGCTCACAGCAGGTTTTGGATGCAACCTGATAGCTCCCCTCTGTTACCAACGCTTTCAGTGTTCCCTGCTTCTGGTCTGATAGTGAACTCTCCTCTGGATCAGAGAAGAGCTGTAGGCCTGATAGGGAAACAGAGAGGCTGATTCTCCCGAGAGATGAGGTCAGGGAGACAATGCAGCTAGGACAAAGAAGCCAAATAGTTTGTGCCAAATTAATTTCCCCAAAGATATTAACCTCCTTTGCTTCACCATTCCCTAAGGCTACACTAAGATTATGAAAGGTGTTCAAAATGTTGAAATGAAAATAATATGCATGATTTGTTTGCATATAATTTTCATACTCATTTACTATCTAAATACAAAAGAATCATTTTCCTTCTCCATTCTACCTCCTCCACCCCTTGCGCCTGATGTGCTAGTCAGGGCAAAATCAGTTGACTGGTATTTAATTAGGTATGTTCAGTTTCAGCCCCCCCTTTCCTTCTTTCCTTGTTCTTGATCCTTCCAGTGTGGCCCATATTAGAAGCCTCTTTCTCTTTTCCACCCTGATCATTTTCACTTGCTAGCTCGTCTAAAGGACATTTCTCTTCTTCTTCCTAAGTTAATACTTACTCTTTATCACCAATCTCCTGTGGGCCAACCAAGGGGGAGGCATTCGCTAGCCCTAAAACCAGTCCTTCTATCCCCATAGTCACCTGAAATAGTTGCTAAAAATCTCATTTCCCAACACCAGGGGGTGTCTCTATTCCTGTATCTGTCCCACCCTGAAGGTAGAGATTAGCCCCAACCCTTTTCCCCACTCCTTTTACGTAGCCCCTAAAGGTCCTTCTCTCCCTACCGTCGCAGAGCTTTGGGTTCAGAAAGTGGTGTCTTTTTATTGCAGATTATCGTAGGTCTCTCATTCTGTCCGGACATGCATAAATTTTTCTTTTTCTTAGTCTGTTCATCTTTCGGTCTCCGTACCACCCACGATCCCCTTTGCTCCGGCTCGCCCTTTCTTTCGCTACCTGTCTTCCACCTCTCTACATGGGTTTCATCGCCCTTCTGGGTTCTTCACATACGCGTCTCTGAGCCTCTTTGTGTATCCACCTTTCTTTTTCCCTGTCCCCCTCTTTATGGAACTCTCCCTATCTCACTACTTCTGTGCCAGTCTCTCTCCGTCTCTCCCACAGTCCCCACAGTAGGAACAAAGTCACGATGTTTGCGCAGAACATGCCTCGCGTCGCCCCGTCCGGGACCGTCACATTCCACCGTGCCCCTCCGCGCATTCCAACTGCAAACAAAGAGTTCCCCTCCCCCTCCTCCACTTTTCCCCGTCCCAATTCCTGAGAGATGTAGCGGCGCTGCCCAAACTGCCCCACGGCCGCCTCTCGCCTCCAGTCGGCGGGTCTCCACCTCCGGGACAGTTACCACCAGCACCACCCTCCCCCTTCAGCGCACCAGAGATCCCTGCGCAGACACCCCCGTTCCTCCTGCACACAGCGCTCCGCCCCTCCCGGAAAGTAGATCCGGCCAGGCAGACAAAAGTTTGGGAGAGAAGTTCGGTCTGTGCTGAGTGTGAGAGTGAGGGGGGCGGGGGCCGAGGAGAGTGGGGCGGCAGGGCGAGTGGACGCGTGAACAGACAGACCTGCGGACGGGACAGCCGCGGCCGTAGGCCCTTCTAGCCCCGCTTAACCCCTGATGCGCGGGGGGAAGCAGACCCTCTCGCTGGGGGATGCTGCGGGATTCCCGGTGCCGGGCATCCGGGCCGCCCGCTAAACCCGTGTGCCTACCCCGTGCCCCCGGGGAACCGGAGTCCGGCCGCTGGGAAAGAGAAGCGGCCGCAGAGACGCTGCAGGGTGCCGGGCGGGGAGGGGGCTGGAGGCCCCAGGCCCGAGGGCATGGAGCGGTTAGGGGAGAAAGCCAGTCGCCTGCTGGAGAAGTTAAGACTCTCGGACTCCGGCAGCGCCAAGTTCGGCCGCAGAAAGGGTGAATCTAGCCGGTCTGGATCTGATGGGACCCCCGGGGCGGGCAAGGGGCGTCTGAGTGGGTTGGGGGGACCTAGGAAATCAGGGCCCCGTGGAGCTACTGGGGGACCTGGGGATGAGCCGTTGGAGCCAGCCCGGGAGCAGGGCCCCCTGGACGCTGAGCGGAACCCGCGCGGCTCCTTTGAGGCGCAGCGCTACGAAGGCTCCTTTCCTGGGGGGCCGCCTCCCACCCGGGCCTTGCCTCTACCTCAGTCATTGCCCCCCGACTTTCGGCTGGAGACCACGGCCCCAGCTCTAAGCCCCCGCTCCAGTTTCGCCAGTAGCTCAGCCAGCGATGCCAGCAAGCCGTCCAGTCCCCGGGGCAGCCTGCTGTTGGACGGGGCGGGGGCCGGTGGAGCCGGAGGTAGCCGACCCTGCAGCAATCGTACCAGCGGCATCAGCATGGGCTACGACCAGCGCCACGGCAGCCCCCTGCCCGCCGGGCCATGCCTGTTTGGCCCACCCCTGGCTGGGGCTCCGGCGGGCTATTCCCCTGGAGGGGTGCCGTCCGCCTACCCGGAGCTCCACGCTGCCCTGGACCGACTGTGCGCTCACCGGCCGTCGGGATTCGGCTGCCAGGAAAGCCGCCACTCGTATCCCCCGGCCCTAGGCAGCCCCGGGGCTCTAGCCGGGGCCGGAGTGGGAGCGGCAGGGCCGTTGGAGAGACGCGGGGCGCAACCCGGACGACACTCGGTGACCGGATACGGGGACTGCGCCGCGGGCGCCCGATACCAGGATGAGCTAACAGCATTGCTGCGCCTGACGGTGGGCACGGGTGGGCGAGAAGCCGGCACCCGCGGGGAACCCTCGGGGATTGAGCCGTCGGGTCTCGAGGAGCCGCCGGGTCCGTTCGTTCCAGAGGCCTCCCGGGTCCGGATGCGGGAACCAGAGGCCAGAGAAGACTACTTCGGTGAGTGAGACAAGTGGTTAGGGATGGGACGGGACCCGTCACAGCATTCGGTTACCCACTGCCCCGACGGCCCCAGTTGCCGGCGCCGGGAAGTCGGAGGCGGAGACGCGGAGCTAGAAGAGGCAAGAGGGACTTCCCCTTTCCACCAGGTCTCAAATGGACCAGGGGCTCCTTATTCATGCTACATTCAACCCCCTGATTATGATCTCGTGAGTCCCAGTTCTTCAAGCTTTAGAGCCTCGGTTTTTCGCTGTAGGAGGCCTCGTAGGGAGGGGACCAAGTGGGGAGTGAGAGCATCCCCCATCTTGCTCCCCCCTAGGCGGCGGTGCCCCTGCAGGCTTCCGCGCGCCGCGCCCCCACCCCGGCCCAAGCTCCGCCCGCAGGAATTCGGGGAATGCGCGGGTGGGGGGCGGGGCGGGCGGGCCGCGTGCGTGCCGGCTCCTGCCCGGGCGCTCCAGGTGCCCGCGGGCGGGGCTGGCCGCGCGGCACGGCGCGGCGCGGGGCAGAGGGTGGAGTGCGGTGGGGGGCGGGGGTGCTGCTTGCTAACACGCGCGCAGCCGCGGCCGCGGTCGGGCAAATGGAACCCGGAGAGAGTGTGAAGCGTTCCGGGACGGAAAAGCGGGGACCCTGCTACTGGCTTGTCCCAGTCCTGCTGGCTTGCCTGCGTGCGTGGGCATTTAAGCGGAGATCTGGTGGTGTCCGCTTCTATTTTCCCTATCTTCCGGAAGTCAGGGCAAAAGCCATGACCACCCGTACACCAGCATCCCTAGTTGGTTAACGACCCGGTGTTAACTGCCAGAAATAACCTGGCCTTCAGTTTGGGGCACAACCTCCTCAGAATTCAGGCTGGAAGTAGCACGTTCTTTCCTGCTGCTGTTAAGGAAACCTGGTCGCTGTTTTTCTCCCCCACGCGGTCACCTTTAAGAAGTTTTAATTGATTATATGTCACAGCAACCGGGGGATATTGGGGTCTTAAAGGATCTTTTTAGCTAAGACCCACAACCACCACTTCGCTGCAGGAAGAAATGCTGATATGGTAGGAAGAGCAGAAATGGAGGGCTGTGGGCCTCTTCTCACCTTTCTCACCATCCATGTTCCTGCGCTGGACCCCATGCTCTAGATCTCTAGATCTCTATGGTTAGAAATGCGGCCGGGGAGAGGAACCCAGCCAAGGAGGGAAGGTTGAGGAGGAGGTTGAGGTAGCAGGGCTGCAGTCTGGAAGGGCCCTGCCTGGTTCAACCTTTAGTGTTCCCATCCTGAGAGAGGAAAGCTGTAGATTAGACAATGGTTTGGTCAACGGAGACAAAGCGACAGGATCCTTTTAGCAGTTTCCTTTGGGGGCCTGTGAGAAGTGGCTGTTGAGTGGAAAGAAGTCTCTTTGGCTAAGCCATCAGAGTTAAAAGGAAGAAAGGAGCTTGGACAGAGTGCAATAAAATGGCAGGAAGAACCTAAGTGTGGATATACTGGGTTGGAGGAGGTGAGGCGGACATGCCTGAGCAGTTTGTGCCAGTCTTCCCATAACGTTCAAGGCTTCCCAAAGAAATGGTTCTGACGGGCCCCCCTGGCATGGCAATCTTGGAGCAGATGTTCACTCTTATGGGCATTTCGACCCTAGAGGTAGGGGCCTCTTCTTCCTGAGAGTCAGGTTGCCTCCTCTGACAGAATCCCCAGTCTGACTGTACCCTCCTACTCTGGCCCCTAGTTAGGGGCCCTCTTCCTTGGCTACAGCCTTGCCCAGCTGCCAGAGGGTGGGAGCAGGACAGGCCTGGGCCCATCAATCGCTGCAGCTGCTGCACGGGCTCCCAAGCCCCTGGGCAAAGACTGGGATGGGCCCCAACAGGCAAGGAGTATGGCAGTGTGCCGAGGGGGAGAGGTGGGGCGGGGTGAGGCGGGCCCGTTGGGATCTGCTCCCCAAAGACAGGCCCTAGCCCTCACTCATGGGCCTGGAATTGGGGAGTGGAGGGAGGGAAGAACACACCCAGGAAAGGTGGGTGCCAGAGCCAGGTGTATGTGTTTTAGGGGGAGGGGTGTCAGAGAAGAGCAGTTTAGCTCTATTCCTCCCAAGATCGATGTCTGGGAGACATTAGGGATTCTGTCACCCTTCCCCCACCTTCCTATGCAACTTCCAGTCCCTGGAACACACCCTACATTCTTAGCAGCCACCTCCCCACAGGAATCATGCTCACATGGTCCCCTCTGCACAGGGCCTTCTGCTGAGCCATATCCTTCTTTTCATCCTTGAAAGCCTGGAGGTGTGGAGCAGTAAGAAGTCATTCTGTAGCTGAATAGCAGCTCATTTTACAGATGGGGAAACTGAGGTCCCAGAGAGGCTTTCTGGACCTGACCTACTTTCTCTAGGAGTGCACTGCTGGGACATTACGGACTGGCATATCTGACTCCTTGTCCCACACAGTGCAACAGGGGTCATATCCTAGCCTATTAGTCTTTTATTCCTGACAGAATGCAAGCATTTATTTGAAGGCCAAGTACCATATCTTTGACCTTTTCCAATCTTCCACAGTTTTGGACACGATGTTTTTGGTAGGCACAAACTAGATGCTCAGAAAATATCTGTTGATTAATCACGTAAACAAGAATGGGTCTGCTCAGCCAAGACCTTTTTGCATCCCATTTCTCGTTATCCTCTCTTCCCAGGAGGGAGCCCATCAAAGGGAGGCTGAGACCCCTGGTCCTCTGACACAATTAGGAAAGAATAGTGAGGAAAGATCCTGAATCTCTGGTTTTGAGCTGAGGGCATAGGGTGTGATGCTGACAACCTCTTCTCTCCCCTCAGGCACCTGTATCAAGTGCAACAAAGGCATCTATGGGCAGAGCAACGCCTGCCAGGCCCTGGACAGCCTCTACCACACCCAGTGCTTTGTCTGCTGCTCCTGTGGTGAGTGTATCCCCTAGGCCTTCCCGCAGGGGCTGGGGCCTCAAGCACTCCCCACATGCTTCCACACTCACAAGTGCCTAGGGAAAGCAGAGCTTTTGCCTCTTCACTTGCTCACACAGCAGCTGTCAGGTGCCCACCATATGTCTGGGTGTCCATTGCTGCCCCGCCTTTCCTTCTCTGTGCTTTACCTGACTCTCTAGTCCCCATGTTGGGTCTGCTTTCTGGAGTGAGTCCTCCCTTCCTCCATTCAGTCTCTTTCCTCCCCTGTGTTCCTCCCTCTTTCTTCTGCCTCCTTGCTTGCCCAGCCTGGACTCCAGCCCGGCCTCAGCCTCTCCTTGGTGGGGTTTGGTCCTGGGCAGTCTGAGTTGCCTGGGGCGACAGTGAAAGACTGGAATGTGGGAAGGGTGGGGGTGGGCTGGGGGAGTTGGGAGCCATGGGGGGCGGAGAGAGGGGTTTTCTCTTGGCTGGTCAGAGTTCAGCCACCTCGCTGGAGTGCAGGCCACAGGGCCATGCCAAGCTGATGACATCACGCTCCAGGAATGCCCGCTGCTGTTAGCTCAGGAGGCCCGCCTGGGAGCGGGGGGTGCTCCCAGTGGCCTTAACTACCCGGCCCTTCCCTCACCTCCCTCATTACCCCTCCCCACTGCTTGCCCACTCTTGATTCCTTTGCTAAACCTTTAATCTCCTATCTCTGCCTGTCTGACTCCAGCACTCAGCTTTTCTCTCCCTCCACCCCAATCCTCCCCCTCCACCTCTGCCTGGTTCTCTTAGGTTCATCTATCTGTCTGTCCTGTTTATAGGGCCTCTCCTGGGTATGTCCCTTTCCTTCTTTCTACCCCTGCTGTGTCTCATGAGTTTCTAAGTCAGCTTTTCTAAACCACTGGACAGAGGTGGAAGTGGAGATTGTGATCAAAAGAGGGCAGAGGAAGTGGCCAACTTGCCCATTCTCCATCCTGGGTCTCCTACCCCCTCTCTGACAAGTTAGACACCCTGGAGCAGTTCCTAAGTATTGATCACATGCTTTGTCTGCTCACAGAAGATCCTGGATTCCCTGGGTTCCTCTAAGCTTGGGGTAGCAGTTCAGTACAGCGGGAAAGGGAACTGACTTTGGTCCCAAGGGAAGCACTTTGTCCCCAGCAGTAATGCCAGTATGTCCTGATCTGCCCAGCCTGTCCCTGGAAAAAGACAGACAGGGCTGGGAGAGCAAGATGGCTGTCCACAAAGAGGCCTCCAGGTTGAAAAGTCTCAGAGGGCGAGGCCTGTGACAGTGTGACCACCTCTATGGGCATCGTCCAGCACCTTGTTCAGAGTTCCTTTACCTTGTGCCCCAGCCTGTAGTTGTCTTTGCTTTCCCGGGTGGCTCCCCATGCACTGGTGGGGAATGTACTTGTTTAGGGAGGCCAGGAAACTAGAAAACTGTTGAGGAGGCAGGAAGTGGAGAAGCAGTGAGCAGAGGAGAGGGGAAGCTGGCAGGAATGAGACCAAAGCAAATTGGAATTGCATCAGATGGGACTTTCGTGTAGGGAGGGAGGACAAACAGCAGTTAGGAGCATAGGCACTAAAGTCCAGACTTAAACACATCATGCGACATTGGAGAGGAGTGACCCTGGGGCAGGGAAACCCTGTACCTGGACCCCGGGATGGCCTCCAGTCCTTTGTCTTCTGCTTCCAGGGCGAACTTTGCGCTGCAAAGCTTTCTATAGCGTCAATGGCTCCGTGTACTGTGAGGAAGATTATCTGGTGAGTGAGGGGTCCCCTGGGCCTGGACTTGGCTCCCACAGTGGGATTCCCTTCTTGGTGGTCCATTGGGGTTCCACCCATCAGGTCATTCTCTACTTGTAACACCCTACCTTGGTCTTTTCTTTCTCTGTAGTTTTCAGGGTTTCAGGAGGCAGCTGAGAAGTGCTGTGTCTGTGGTCACTTGATTTTGGAGAAGGTAAGCAAGGTGTCTTCATCTGAGACTCTCTATGAGCCTGAGGGGCCGAGGGGTAGAGCCAGGGGATAGGTGGTACTGAGAAAGGTGGAGGGAGGAACCGTATCACCACATGAATCACTTTCATCTCATTCTTCCCCAGAGCAACTGTTTACAGTGGCGTCCCTCTGCCTGTGGGGTCAAGTCTGGACCCCTAATCCTGCCATCCCAGGCTTCTGTAACCTAGTCTTTACCTAATTCTGCAGGCACAGCCAGGCCCTCCACCTGAGCAAGGGGTGTGGCATGCTGGGTCTTAATGTCCTTCCTGCTACTGACTGGGATCAGTTAGAACTGAGTTGTTCTTTTTTAATTTAGGAAGGAGGGATAGGATTAGGTCAGAGGTCCTCAACTCTAGTAGCCTAGCAGATCACCTGGGAAGAAGTAAAGAAAATACCAGTGCCTGGGTCTTCATCAGAGACTGTGATGGATACTTTTGGGGTAGGACCCAGGCATTGATGGGTATTTTAAGCTCCCTGGGTGATCCTAATATGTAGCCCCGGATGAGAACCACTGGCCTGGATGCTAAGAACTTGTTCAAGGTTTCTGCCTCTGTTTTAAGAGTCCTGGCTTCCCTCAGATTACATAGCATTGTTCTGGGAGGATAGCAGGGGGTTGGATGAGGTTGGGGGGCAGCAGGAAGGGCCATGGGTAGCTGGGTAACGGGAGAGTCAAGATCGGAGGGAGACTGATTTTCCTCCCACTCCATGAGCCAGATCCTACAGGCCATGGGAAAGTCCTATCACCCAGGCTGCTTCCGATGCATCGTTTGCAACAAGTGCCTGGATGGCATCCCCTTCACAGTGGACTTCTCCAACCAGGTGTACTGCGTCACTGACTACCACAAGTGAGTCTACCCCCTTGGGGTATGGTGTGGAACTGGGCTCAGGGATTCTCCAACCTTAATTCATCTCTGTCTCTCTTTTTCAGAAATTATGCTCCTAAGTGTGCGGCCTGCGGCCAACCCATCCTCCCCTCAGAGGTCAGTATGTTTGGGTTCTCCTGCGGGGCAGCCAGTGCCGCTGCCCCTGGGAAGGGGATGGGACATAGGGCCTGGCTTCCCGAGGGAGGCGGTGGCGCTGAGGAATGTACTCTGCGAAGATTCCCGTGTGACTCTGCTCTCAGGGTCACCACCCTGACCCTAACATCCGGGCCTGGACATGTTTGACAGCCTCACTGGGCCCAGGCTTCATCTGGTCTCTCCCAGTCCAGAGGAGGAGACTTTCTTCGAGGTCAGGGTCACCAGATTCCAGAGGTAGGGGCTGGAAAAAAGGTGGGAAGAATCCTTAGGGCTGGTAGGAAGATGTCAGCAATGATTTATGCTGTGTGTGCGAAGCATTTGCCTGGGGAGAGAAGCCAAAAGCCAATGAGATATCAGACCCTGTTGGATCTCCTTGTCCCCAGCTTAGTTTACTTTACTTATGCTGCCTGCCCCCTTTCCCTCCCTCTGCTTCCCTCAAAGCTGGGAGAAGTAGGTAAGGCCAGAGCTGCTGGACAGAGGGAAGACAATGAGAGGACATGCTTCCTGGAGGCAACCCTAAGAAAGGGTGGGGGGAAAGTTCTGGTAGGATCTGCAAAAACCATCTCAAAGCCACAGATGATTGCAGAGAGCTCTCTCTGGAGGCCTTTGTATGATCTTCCCATTGGTGTGGGAGGGGCCCGTAGTAGGGAAGGTAAAGTTGGGGTTGTCATGCTGTGCTCATCCCAAGCTTATCCCATGGGGATCTGCATCATTTCAGGGCTGTGAGGACATTGTGAGGGTGATATCCATGGACCGGGATTATCACTTTGAGTGCTATCACTGTGAGGTGAGTGTTGGGAGCCAGGGCTTCTGGAGGAGAATGGGAATGGGGCTGGGGGGTGAGGCATGTCCCTAAACTGCCTGCAGGAGAGGTCTAAGGCATGGAAACCAGGAAGGTGCTCTGGCCTATCTCCAGAGTGTGTGTGTGTGTGTGTGTGTGTGTGTGTCTCTCTCTCATCCTCCAGCCACCTTCTCTGGTCTTGGTTGTTTAGTCCTTTCTGAATCTGGCTTCCCCAGAGGCAAGACTAAACTAGGGACTCCTGGTAACTGCTGGAAATGGGAGTCTGACTCATTATTTCTGCTGTAGCAGCGACACCTGCTGTCCCGCTGAGGTATTTTCTCAGGTTTCTTCTCTGGGAGTCTATCCCTTCCAACCCCACCTCCTTTCTTCCACTCATTAGGAGTCTGGTGTGGAGCAAGGCAGACTCCCAAGATGTCTGAGGTGCCTAGGCTGAGGTAAACTAGATGTCCTTCTTCCCTAGGACTGCCGGATGCAGCTGAGTGATGAGGAAGGCTGCTGCTGCTTCCCTCTGGATGGGCACTTGCTCTGCCACGGCTGTCACATGCAGCGGCTTAATGCCCGACAGCCCCCTGCCAACTATATCTGAACTGCAGTCACTACTGCTGCCTTCGCCACCATTGACAAATTCCTCTGGCCAGAGGGCCCCTCTGAGGCCAGCCGAGGCAAGAAACGCACTCCCAGACCGGGAAGAAGAGCCCTCTGGGGAAGGCCCCAAGGGCCAGAGACCCAAAGATATGACATTCCAAATGGATTGTGGAGAAGGAACCTTCCAATTGCCATGGTGGGGTGACTGGCTTTCTTTCCATGTGTGTAGCCTGTGCTGTAGCGTGTACTCAGGCACACACTACAGGCGAGTTCCAGTACTTTCTAAAGGTCTGATTCTGGTCTGTATCTCCAGTGTCTGATGATGCATAAGTCAAGTGATGTTCCAGCTTTGGATTGTAGGAAGAGAGGACATCATGAGCACTCCTCACTCTTTTGTACCCCTCATGTGGGTCAGGTATGGGGTCAGCAGGTTCTTACTACAGTGTCTTTGTATCTGGATGAAGAGATGGACACTAGACCTTATTAATGAGTTTTTTCCTTGGCCACCTTCTCCCTATAGACTAGGAGCACTGCTCACCCCTCTGCTGGGAAGGGGGACAGCTCTCAGTGGGCCTGTTGCCTGTATTGCCTATTTCTCAGGGACTCACGTGGGCCTGGGAAGGCTAGGTGGGTGCCCACACTTGGTTCCTCTTCTCCTCAGTTGGGGAAGTAATGAGTGGGTCCTTGAGGGTGGAGGTGCCAGGTGAGACATGTAAGAAGTGTCAGGCCAACCGCGCTCCGTGCACATGCCCAGGTATAGGTGCACTGAGACCTCCAGCCCAATGTAGACACACATAGGCACATTCATAGACACACTGTCTCACTCCCTTCTTCTCAGGTCATTCTTATCCAGTTCCCTAATAGTCACTCACCACTCCAGACCTGCCACCTCTCAGAGGAATCTAGGATTATAACCACTACAACTCCCAAACTCTGAGGTTCTGGGGAGCCAGAGGGGCAACACACTTTGATCTGGTTCTAGTCGTTTGGCTGAAATCGGTTTACCTAAGCTAGATTCCTTTAAAGCCAATTCGTGGGAGACTTGTATGCTTAAAGTTTACTTGTTTTGGGGGCGGGCAGGGAGGGTGCAAAAAAGGTGGTTTTATTGAAAGCACGGGAATAGGACCCATGGGCAGAAAGAGCTGCCAAAGTTTACTTAATGACCAGTTTGCCAAAAGCTCAGTCCCTTTGGGGTATTTTTATAGCCATTTAGGTGTTTCGTTGTTATGTTTTGGGTGTTTTCAAGATTTACATCTATTCATCGAACAGTACTTCTGAATTATTGTCAACAACATAAATTTATCAAATTTGCAGCACTTTGTAATGTTGAGATTGCTTCCTACCTTTATGGACATTTTCCTATGTTATCTACTTTTCAAACACTTTTCTAAAAAGTTTAAAGTTTCTAGCAATAAATATAATTGGTATGGACATTTTGTGTATCATTTTTTTGTGTTTCTTAATTCAATATTCCTTTACAAATTAGATGCCTTGGAAAATGTAATAGAGCTCAATATGATTTTGATGCTTTGGCCTAACTTCTACATTCCTGCTGTTAAAAATGCCAATATATTCTAAACAAATGAGCAGGCATGTGGCATGTTCAGTTGACTAACAATTAAAGGTTATGTGGACAACAACAATAAAAAGTGAAAGGGTAAATCTGCTAAATCCTTTTGAAATGCTGCAGATTTGATAAATATTTATTTTAAACTAATTGTCTATAGGTGAATTGGTTTTCGGCAAATTAATCTGATAATCTTTAATCCTTAGTCTTCATTCCCTGTCACTTAGAGTTTCATACTAGAAATGGTTACTCCTAAGAACAGAAATTCCGCGTTTAGGGGTTATTCTAAGGTGACCGTGCCAGCCAAGCTGGGGTTGCAGAGGAGAGGCCTGTGCATGAGGGTGTGAGGGGGAGTAAGAGCTCACATTCATACCCCTGACTGCAGAGGGGATGCACTTTTTTTGGAGGGATAAATGTTCTGATAGATTACTTGATCTACAGCTGGGATTGCTTCTTCTGAATTATTATTATTAAATAAGTGAATACAATGACGCTGACTGGGCAATTTTCTCACCAGGCTGCTCCAGGCCTGGGAAATCCAGACAAGTATGTATACCTTTACACCCATCCCTTCTTTGACTCTTGGAGGTCGTGTCCACTCTGACCTTTGGTTTCTCACTCTGATTTCAGCCTCCATCTTACTGGCTGATTCCTTTCTGGGTCTGTGCTCCTCTGTGCCAGCCCCAAGGCTCCCCAGGACTCTGTTCTTGCCACTGGGGCTACTCCCTTCCTCCGTCCTGAGAAAAGACAAGTGCTAACAGCTGATGAGGACAGGCCCAAGGAAGGCAGGCTGTGGCAGAAGATCAGCCCCAGCCACCTCACGTTGTCACTGGCAGGCTCCCAAGTGTTCCCTGCATTGCAAGACCCCTTCTTCCTGTTTCCCAGGAGACAGCTCTACCTGACCCATTCTATTTAATATTTACAGCTAATAGATTCGTGGGGTGCTGCAAAGGACCCAGCAACAGGTAGACCTTGTTTGGCCAGCTTACTGCCTGGTTTTCATCAGTAGCCACTAGGGCCTGAGATGGGACAAGGGGGAAATGGGAGAGTCTTGGATCTTTTTGGTGTCTCTAGATGAGAGTCACAGTACGGGGGTCAGGCTTTCACAGCAGACTGGCTGTTTGCTCTGGTAAGCTCCGTTCACTACAGGCCTGAATGTGGTTTGGTTTATGAAGAATATGGTTGGTGGTGGTTCTCCCTCTGCCTCACTCCTTCAAGACCTGTTTCTCCCTTCCCCCTTTCCTACGCCAGGGAACTGGTAAGATTCCATTTGCAATCAGGCCGGAGACTGTCCTCAGTTGAGGAAGTAGAGAAAGCTATTTCTAGGCACATAAAGCCAGCTGGATAAGGTCCTTGAGATTGTACATATAACAAGAGGGATAATGAGAGAGAAAGGAGACTGATAGGATTGAGACAAAAGGATTGGAAAAACCAGTGAGCAAAAGCATTTTGTTGTTTTAGAAGGATCCAGACCCGAGCCAGGTCATTTGGAGCCCTAATGTTAGAGGGTTCCACAACAAAGACAATCTCCGTCCTCTCCATTCTCCCTCACAGCAAAGGAGAACCTAAGACGGCCTCTGCCTTGCTGCCCGTTACTGATGTAGAGACCTTGGAATATCCACACTTGGCCCTGGTTGTGAAGGACTGAGGTTTGACCTTGGAAACAAGAGCAAACTGTCACTGGGACATATGGATTAGAGCAGTCTAATGTGTTCGGAGAGTAGTCAGAGGCAGATTCTGTCCACCTATGCTTAGAAAGGATAGCACTGCCCCTTGTGAAGGGAGCCAAGGAGCGATCCAAGCAGGGAGACACAGGTTACCAGGAACATCTGCTGAAAGGTGTAGGTTAGGCTTGTATCCTAGAGGGAGGGTTAGAGCCGAGCAGGATGTGATTTTGGAACTCTGTGACCTCATTTTACCAAATGAAGAAATAGAAGTGGAGGGATAACGGCACTTACCTAAGGTCATGCAGCTGGAAAATGAAGTTCCAACTTTTGAAGACTAATAAAGAGTTTATTTCCCCTCTTCCCTCCCACCCGAACCTTCATCCCCATTGCAGGGACTCCCACAGCACAAGTAAACTGTAAATTAGATCAGCCCTTCATTATGATGGATAATTAGGGAGAGTTTTAGTGGGAAAGCCAGGGAATATAAGAGACAATAATGAAAACTTGTGCTTCTTACTAATGTTTTTGTTTTTTGGTTGGTTGGTTGGTTGGTTGGTTGGTTGGTTGGTTGGTTTTTTTGCTAACTTGAACTAGCAGTAGCCAAAGTATCTTTAAAAGCACATTAGAAGAAGCAAAATAAATACACTGCAGGAGAGTCCCTGCCCTTGAGGAGGTCACAGTCTAGCCAGGGAGACAAATACACACATAAAATGCCTTGAGAAGATTACAAGCAACATGTCACCAAGTGCAAAGTAATTGAGTGTTACAAACAAAAGACCTAATGCTGCAGGGTACAGATGACAGGGGGGAGACTTTGTTGGACTTCGATTGTAGATCAGAATGTGGCGGCCCATAGACAAATCCTGTCCCCAAATGCATTCTTTGGCCACTGGGAGTGGGAGTTATTTTTTATATTATTTTGAACCTTCACTGAGAAGAGGAAAATGCCAGCTAGTAAATGTAGAAAGAATGATAGAATTGGAAAAACAGCATTTTGTGAACCCGAATAAAATAATTGATTCGGGCCAAATTATTAAGTAGAGTGAAAGCTATAAGTGAAATGATTGGTGGACAACTGGACATAGTGTGTATATATATATGTGTGTGTGTGTGTGTGTGTATGTGTATATATATATATATATATATATATATATATATATATATATATATTAGTGCCGAGTAACCTACCAGCTTATGGTCTTGTCATCACTCATTTCCTGGAATGGGTCTTAGTATCACCAGCCAGTTGACCGGTTCTGGTGTGAGGCAAATTCATAACCCAGCCTAGTGTAGAGTCCAGCTGCTCCCCACCCACCGGAGAAATAGGACATGTAGCTTGAGGTTTACAGGAAGTGCTGTGAGAAAGTAAAGGATGCCAGGAGGAAGCAACCCCACAAACCTAGGAGGTGAGGCAATCTGCAGGGCAATGGGTCAGCGCTCTTGAGCAAGTCCGCATGATTTTTTTTTTTAACTTCAAAACTGCTAGATTAGAGGGACTTAAGCTATCTCGTAACAATACAACGCATGGTCCTGGATTCCCTATTGGTTTAAGCAAATTGCTATAAAAGATATTTGGAGTCAACTGGGAAATTTTTTATATGGACGGGATTAGATGAGGTGAAAATTTACTGAGCCGGAAAGGTCAAAATCATTAACAAAAATGCCAGTCACAAAACCAGTACAGGGTAATCGTTTTTTTGTTTTCAAAGTGTCTATATGTTTAAAAAAAAAAAAAAGATCTGAAAGGATATGCATGAAGGTGTTGAC